CTCTCTAAAGATGCCGTAAATAAAATGAGACCTAGAGGAAATAACCATCAAAATCTGTGGCTTTAAAAATAATAATCACATCAATCATAATTCATAGGAAAAGCACCCATCGTAGCTCTTTATTGCTGATCAACCCCATTTTGTCGCCAGAAACCAATTCTCCACATAACACCACTTGGACGCCTCACGCCACATCCTGTCATTTTTCACAAGAACTGCAAGTCGACATAACATGGAAAGTACGAGGGAGAGGGGTGTTTTGAAAGTCTTCTCACCTACTCGATACTCTGCCAGATGGAATATTTTTACGTGATCTGGGTGAAATTGGTTTTCTCAAACCGATAGCTAAGGCGGACGGAAAATATAAGAATGTGGAAATATTTCAGCCGTAAAAGGAAGCGTAAAAATCGGCACAACGCTGGAGGCAAAGCGCGCTATTGACGCCCGGAGCAGGCACTGATCTGTGAGCGTCATATCGTATCACACACAGTCAGCAGTGTCACCACCACTGACTGGCTCGGGACCTGTTGCCGCCCATATGGTGTCATAGTCAGTAGTCACAGCTGATCCAGTGTCCCTCATCGCCTGCTGATAGCGCTGAATGGCTAGAGCATCTGTTAATAATGACTCAAATGAGGTAGAAGCGCAGCAAATCATTCGTTACGACCAATTATGTCAATCTATTGGCCACCGTGCCAGAATCAATCTGATCTCCTCCCTAAATGTGGATGTCTTAGAAGCAGTGCCCTTTGCACATTGCACAAACTGAGTTACACAAAGCAGACGATCACTGGCCCTGCAGGCGGCCCCGGGCTGCAGTCGAACGGTCGCATACGACGGACGGTCGAGCCGGCAATAACCAAAAAGCAATAACGGGGTGGGCCGACCGGTCGACTCGGCGGCCACAATGGTCTCGGTCGACAATTGCCTGGCTTTGCTGCTAGCCTGCAGAGCCAGTCAGCGGAAATATGGATACTGCGCTCTTGACACCTTATAGCACCGTGAAAGGAAGAAAGATCTGGAGAGCAAGAATGTCAGGCCAGGCCCAGTCAGGGAAAAGAATAGCCGCTTCCACCTCGGCTCGTAACGGAGCATGGCTGGTGATCCGAGAGGAAAAGGAGTTTGAAAAGCACACGGGCTGAACGATCTTTGGCGGCAGCGATAGATGAATTGCCTGTTGACTGGAGACGAGAGATATCATAGGCCATAGCTAAGACTGGAAGCTCGAAGCTGAGCCAGAATTGCACACAATTGGAATCTTATTTTTAATGGATCTGAAAAATAAGAATTCATTGTTAGTGGGACGGTTAATTCATTCGACTAACGATGGCTAGAGAAGACCCGAACTAAATTCATTTTGTCGTGTTTTTGTTCTCATTCATGAGCAGTAATTGAACAACGGACATTAAATAGCGCAAAATATCATTATTGTGGTGATATAGGTAGCTAAGTCTGCACATTGTCACATCAATGCTAATACATCAGGGGTAAGATCTTTGCAAAATAGCTTTGAATTATACGCATGGATTAGCAACTTGGACTAATCGGGTTGATTGGCCAGGCCAGCTCACTTTCCATTCCACATCACCGACCAGCCCATCAAAGAACCATGTAAGCCAAGTCTCAACTGGACCAGCCGGTGTGGTGACTCGGTCCGCCGGCGGCGATTGTAGCTGACTCGTTAGCACGATCTAACAGCGGTCACTGCTGTCCAGCTGACCTGATCTGACCCAACAGTGCAGCCAGAGAGCGGTTTCTGCTGCCCCTGACCCTTTTGATCTGACCCGTAGCGGTCAGACAGCTGACCCTTCTGATCTGACCCCGCCGCCTTCAAAGCTGCGGACCAGCCGCTGCGCCGCGCTCCGATGGCTAGAGAAATCAGCCGAGTGGCTCTACTCCGCTACCGGCTACGGCGTGAAATCCAATTGGTAAATGAGCTCGGGAACCGGCGGGCGGGCGGAGCGGCTCTGACATTGGCACCTGCACTCCGGTAGGGCCTCCGGCGAGGTAATGCCCCTCATACGGGATCAGAGGGGGCGCACCGTTTGATCTCGAATGGGAATCCATGTGTGGCTTCCAGATATGCCGAGCCGTGCTAATATCAGGTGGTATCAGAAAGGAAGAGGATCTCCAAGACGGGTTAAGCTTGTTTGATAGCTCGTCTGTTTGTTGAAAAAGTCGTTCGTAAATGGCTTCGGCAGATGTTTAAACGGTATATGTACCGAGGTGTTGAGATAGGTTTTGCCTGTTTTGGTCAAGCAACTGGTTGAGTGTTTATTCAAAAAAGGCGTCGTGAAATCGTATCTAATGAATTTATTACATTTAGAGTCTTATCGGTTAGCCCGCTTACACAAAATGAAGCGAAATGAACGATATTTCACATTTCATGGGACTTCAATGTGCGTACGGCCCGTAAACTAGTAAGTGACTCGATATTTATGAACATATACCTATTAGTGGCGACGCAGTTTGGTATGGCACATTGGACCATGGACGTTGGCAATGCCGAGGCTAAATCACCAACCCCCACTTTCCCAGAAGCTGCGCCACTGTTACTGGGAAAGACGTGGACCGTTTAATGTGATAAAGGTGAACTATTTGCAATATTTTAGCCTAATGATGTCGCGAGAAAGCCTGTGCTTAATGGCAGAGCACCATGCAAATCTCGTTAGTTAGACGCTTTATTCTGACACTGAAAATTCAGCGCACATGCCGCCAACATACATAACGCCAGTCTTCCGACGGAGAATATTGTCGGCTGAAAAGCTCGGAGTCGGAATGAAATACGCAAACTATCTGATGTTCTGTAAATAGAAAACACGTGTTCCACAAACACTACGCACGCACGTAAAAAATCATCAACGTATTCATCCTCTCCAAAAATATTTCTGATTATCACCATAAGCCAGCCGAATTAGGTAAAACACCATAGAGTTTTTTATATTCGCTTGTTATAACCATAGAAGTTAACCATCAAGAGCGCCTTTTGAAGGCGAGCGCTGCCGTGCCATAAATGACCCGCTACCGTGTCGGAATCTAACGGAGAACTCAGTCAGACTCACCGCAGCTGTCATCGCCGCAGGAGCCAATCATGGCGCACAGTGCAGCCACAATTGTCATGATAATAAGCCACAGCTTGCGAACAATGCCTCTATCACGGCTGCCGACACACGTCCTGAACTGGAGGAGCGCCTCTCCAATGCGTCCAATGGCCGACGGAAGTCTGGAGCGGAGCCCAAAACATGCCTCAGATGCGCCAAATGTGCGACCGACTGTCGGGGTCTCAAAACAAGTCTCTAGGCGAATGTGGAGACCAGATCACAGTGGTGTCACAACTGCTATCTTGCATTATCATTACAGCCATTTTCGTCGAAAACTGTGGAGCTAATGCTGAAAATACGTGAGCTTGCCTCCACAGAAAGTTGTTTGCTCGAACGTTAGAGCCATCTAAATCCTAAAAAAATGGTTAGATTTACTGTGCGGGCAGAGGCATGGACTCGCATTGCAAAAATGCTTTTCTTTAGTGAAGACGACTTTCAAACCATTTGTCCAGTGTTTTCAACAAACTGCTATGTTTGGGGGTTTTATTTAAACCAAAAATGTTTTAGCCTAAGTCAAATTCAGAGGACGAACAATTTTTTTTCTCATATATAATGGATAATGCATGTGTAATGTGGATGCATGTAAGGTGTAGGTATACCAAAATGTATGGTACATCTCGTCAGTCATTTTGAAAATGCGTGCCGATGGCAGCACTATGATGCTTTTCTAATGTAAAGATGCGCTATAACTTTGTAGCGCAACTTCACACGCATAGTACTTAACTACAAAATATATGTAAGTTCGTTGAAACGTCTTGGATATCTGCAAGGTCTTACCACAGACAGTTTACCGTCACCGGCTGGCCGCTCGTGTGTCGGAAACGCTGCGGACTGGGGCCTGTCCTCCGGCCGTCAGGTTAGCGGTGGACCTGATCTATTGCATTATCGCATCTCCATAACAACGGCAGCGCATTTATGGCTGTCATTAGCCGAGATCAATAGGGCTGTCTCCATGTACAGTCAGCTGACGGATAGCAGACAGGAGCGAGGCTGCATAAAACAACAGGAAAACTTCCCGCTAGAGTCGACAATGCTAGCAAGCTTCTTTGCCAATCGAAACAAACAACGAACATGTAATGCTCCTAAAGACGACACAATAACTTCTTGCTGGTATTTTGCTCCGTACCTACACCGAACTTTAGTACATACTTTGTGAAAGTACCTAACATTGCGAGGCAATTGTTTCCTTGAAGACGACAGGATCTGAAAGTTTGTCGGATAAACAGCCAATATCAGCGATGTTTGTCGGCCTTATTCACCTGAGAGTGTCCAGTAGAGATGTCAATCGGATACCAACTTTTTGGTATACCGATAGCAAACCGATACCAACTTGGTATTTGGTATTTCAATCGTAATGTGTTTGGTATTTTGTTGGTATCATAAGCCCTCACTAATGTATAAGAGGCTAAGAAATCGGTAAAAAATTGGTATTTCCCTCAGGTTCCCAAGTTGGTTTGGTTTCGGTATTTTCCCATGGTTTTGGTTGGTATTTGGTTTGGTATCGGTATTCTGATTTTCCGTAATTGACATCACTAGTGTCCAGCGTTGTTTGCAATGTGTGAACTGTAAACTTTTCGCCGATCTTTCCAACCTCCAAGGGAACTAAAGTACTGTTCGTTTGTTCACTGAGGACAATGCCAATCGGGGCAAGACATTGCCCCGATTGGCATGTGAACAGCACATGGCAATTCTTGCCCCGATTGCGGCCTGTGAACAGCACATGTCGCATGGCGTGCGTTTTTTTTTCTCAGCCAGTGAGTTAAGACAATTCAGCTCAACTCACCAACACAAAAATGATGCAGAGATCAATCACAAAACTGGAAAAATGCCACCTCATACATCGGAGGGCATCTTTGATGAGCTACATTACATGTTACGGGCGGCTGTGGCCGCCCGTTGTGGCACGCCTGGCGCCGCCCGTGGCGCCTCCCCGGCTGGCCGCGCCCGGCGCCGCCCCTGCCGCGTGGCCCTGGGGCGGGGTCGGCGGCTAGCCCTGGCTGGGCGGGCGGCGGCCCGGGAGACGGGATCGGAGGGACGTGTGGAGCGGTACGCGCTTGTGCTCCCTAAACTGCAAATAGAGTGACGTTCGGATCTGGTGTGTTCAGCTCCCGCAACATTTGGCGCGGTCGGTAGGACCGGCGACGGCAACGGTGAGTCTGTTGTGTTATTATCGTTTGGCATGATTGTGTTTAGACTGTAGCCGATTAACTAATGGCCGGAGCCGAGCGGTCTGCTCGGATCAGTGGTGGATGAGGGGACGGTAGGGTTACCGCAGGCATTTTTCGGGGCGGTTAGCCTTGATTATTTATTATTATTATTTAGAGACTGAGTAGTATCGCAGGCGGTTAGCCTGTGAGACAGCGTCGTGCTTTTTTTGATAGGGTAAACGGCTATTGCCTCTGTTGGATGGTGTCGCACTCGACTATGCGCGGCCCCTGTATGAGACAGGTAAAAGTTATTGAAACATAAAGGAGGAAACACTGATACGGAACGAACATCGAGTGGGTCGGTAGCATTAGCCTAGCGTGACGCCGAAACTGAGCGCGCGATGCTCCAGGACACAGTAAGTCAGCTTCAACAGGAGGTTGGGCAGCTGCAGTCGTCCTTGGAGGCACTCACTGTTGCTCGTTTCAGCCCTGATACGTCCAAAACTAGCGGGTGTTACGGGTGTGGTGCTCCTGACCATTTTCGGCGGGACTGCCCAGTGGGGCGTCTTGGTCAGCTGAGGTCCGGGACACCGGGGTCACAAAGTTGAGGTGTCCCTCGTGAGGAGGGGAGGCCGCAGTCGAGGTGGGTGCCCGTTAGTCGCTTCCAGCGCTGACCCACCTCGACCGATGTGTCTTCTCGATCCGGTTTTTGCGGCAGAACAGGAGCGTGACCGGTCTATTATGTGACTAGGTCAGGATGTGTGTCAAAGGTTTCAGGCGGGAAATCAAATTTGGTCCCTCCTGATCGAAACCGAAAGTAGTGGAAGACCCTGTTACATCAAGTAGGGTGGGTGGGCAGATATTGACTTGTGCTGCTAAGAAGTGCTCGTGAACCAAAAGGTGATTGTATTTTTAAGTTTCAGATGGACCCTACGCGGCTGGAGCTAGACAGCCTCTGGACGGCTGTTGCCGAGGAAAGGGCCGAGCGCGAGCGACTGGAGGAACAGCTTCAGGGTCTCCTCAGAGGGCTCTCGGGAGGTGGTATGCCTTCCGCGGACGCCGGGCTGCCGCTGATCGTGCAGCAGGATGCGGAGCTGACTGAGGTGGTGACGGAGATGCCGTCCTCCGCACTGTGGTCGTCGCCGGCGCCGTCGGACTCGGACCTGGTGGAGGTGGTGGTGGAGGTCCCACCCGCGGATGGTGGTGCCGCGGGTGAAGCCATGTGGGGGACGCAGCCAGATGGAGAATCGTTCCCGTCTCCTGACAGGAGACGCCCGGGAGACGGCGAGGAGGGCGGCGGACGACCACCCGTATCTCCGACCGCCGCCATCCTGGCGGAGGTTTCAGTCGCGGTCGACGGTGCCGACATATTGGGCGAAATTCTGGGCGAGCCGGTATCTCCGGCCGCCGCCATCCTGGCGGGGGCTTCAGTCGGGGTCGACGGTGCCGACATATTGGGCGAGATTCTGGGCGACCCGATCGACACGGACTTTGGCTTGGGGGACATCGCTGAGGGGTCCGGCGGTTCGCCGGAGGCTGGTCCGCCGGGGTCCGCCGTGCTCTTAATAGGAGATTCTATGCTGAGCAGGGCGGACTTCCGGTGTGACCCCCCTCGGCGCCTGTCCGTGTGCGCGGTCCCCGGGCTGACTCTGAGCCGCTGGCTGCGGTCAAGCGCGACCGAAGTAAGGGCGTGGGTCTGTGGGAAAGGGGAGCTGACGGACCTCCAAGTCATCTTATGGCTGGGCGGTAATGACGTTTACCCAAGGGGGGCCGCCTTCGACCCGGTCACGGTGGTGGCGACGCTGGGGCGGCTGAAGGAGACCATCATCGACACCCGTAGCCTTGGTTGCGCCGTGACCATCCTCGGCGTGACGCCGCGGCCGGCCCGCGACGGTGGCAGAGTGTGGGAGTCCACCCCGGCCTTCTGGCTCGAACGGGCGCTGTGCGAACTGTGCCGCGAGACCGACTCCACTTTCGTCGCGCTCGGCCGACGCCTCTGCCGGCGGGAGGGGAGGAAACGGCGCTTTAAGATGGACGGCAGGTTCTTCTCGGCTGACGGGGTCCACCTCAGCGCCGCCGGCTACCGGCGACTGTTGGACTACCTGCCGGGGTGGCTCAGGCGCGGCCGACGCTAGGCGGCATGTGTGAGGGCGCTCGGGACGGTGTGTATGAATGTATGATTCGAAGTTGTCGTTTTTGTTGTTGTTGTGTTTTGTTGAGGCTGTTTTTGGTGTGGTTGTCATGCGGGGGGTCACTCGTGCTCGTGGGATGACTCGTGCTCATGTGGGGGAGGGGTGTTACGGGCGGCTGTGGCCGCCCGTTGTGGCACGCCTGGCGCCGCCCGTGGCGCCTCCCCGGCTGGCCGCGCCCGGCGCCGCCCCTGCCGCGTGGCCCTGGGGCGGGGTCGGCGGCTAGCCCTGGCTGGGCGGGCGGCGGCCCGGGAGACGGGATCGGAGGGACGTGTGGAGCGGTACGCGCTTGTGCTCCCTAAACTGCAAATAGAGTGACGTTCGGATCTGGTGTGTTCAGCTCCCGCAACATACATTCGAATTAAGTGCTGTTCATTGTTTCATTCCAAAAGCTTTCAAATGAAGGCTATCGCCCATTCAACTCATGGGTGGACTAAGAGAAACCCTAACACCGATGTCTAGGAAAACCCAGAGAGCATGGGATAAATGGATAAGCACGATTGTCTGCAGCAGGTGAAAATTTGTGGTTATTAACACAACAAATCGGCATTCGAAAATCGTGGCCTGGTAAATATGCACACACCCTTTTCAGCAAAATATTAGATGAGGCGCTGGAGCAGTTACTCGGCTCCATCTTGCATCGATGGTTCAATAAAGCAAGCGAAGTTAAAAGTAGGTATAGGTCTCGCGGGTTTTAGCGGCAGGTTTTGCACCTATGAAATTTAGTATACTTCAGGCTATATCTTAGTCGTCTTAAGCTTTGAAGTGTTGAAGATGAAATCGCTTTGTTCGTTCACAAGCCTGCCATTATCGTATAAAATGGCTTCATCGTAGATCGATTACTTTCTGAGATATAACGGGAAATGTAAAAGGGCAAAACCTACCGCTTAATTTCGCGAGAGCCGTACTCGTGTGACCCGCTCTTATGTACAAACAGATGGTAAGAACAAACAGACAGTCATCGTAAGTCCGTCCTTGAGTCCAGCTGTCCTTGCGTCCTTTCGCCCTATTCATTTCATCAAACCACATCATTTTATATTGAAATGTGTAAATGTGTAAATGCCAACAAGCCCAGTGTTGACATCAACGGACCATGTGAAGCTTCGTATTTGATATAGGAATGTGGAAACTTGGTGTTCCCACCGGGATCGAGCACGTTGAAACTTGCAGTGTTTCATATTCAATTTTACTCTGATAAATAGCTCGGTTAGATGCTGCGAAGTTCAAACTGCCAAACTGAACAACTTGTTATCATGAAGTAGTTTCAAACTTCATGGTAATAGCTGCTGTTATTAACAGTACAGAATAGTGTCTAATCTATAGTGAGGTGAGGTCTTACCCTGTGAACCGATATGACCAAAAATTGTAGCATTCTGAATGTGTGGCCAATGAATGACCAGATATGACCGAAAATTTGAACACTTAAGGGTAGGCTGTAATGTTAATTAAACGCAGGCCAAAAAAGAATGTGTTTCAAAAATAGCAATGCGTGCTGACGAGTGACCGGCATAAAAACAAATGAGATATTTGGAGGAGACATAGGTGATGTCGTGCTTGTCGTCAAAACTTTCAACCTTTTATCAGTAAATGCTGCAGCAGGTGAACTATTCAGAATGGACTTCAAATGTAAATTAAAATTGCTATTTTAACATACAGCTACAACTATGAATTCGGTGGACTTACCTCTGTTTTCCAGCCGTTGCGGCCAGCGCCGAACCAGCTGCCCAGAAGACTGTCAGTATCCCTACCGGGCCCATCTCTAGATGTCGACAATACCGGCTGTGTCGGAACCCAGGGCCCAGTGTCCTACTCTCCGTCTATCACCGTCCACGGGGCGCTTCTCGTCAACACTCCCGGGCAGTGGGTGCTCCGTGCACGACAGCACCACCCTCAGAGTATCGCAGAGCCGCTCTGCCCGGTCCGTGTTCGGTAGGACGGGCAGTTTACAGAGCCGAGGGCACAGTCCTAGCTGACCTTCACTCTGTGGCCGGCTGCTGTGTTCACCCTCCGTCCTCCAGCAACTGTCAGCCACTTTCAGCTGCTGTCAGTCGCTGTCAGGGGCTGTCAGGGGCTGTCAGCCCCCGACCACCGTGAACGCCGCACCGCACTGTCCGCGCTCCCTGCTGCGCAAATCTGACGCGAGCTCTAAACGATTCTGCTTGGACTTCGGTCCAAATCACAAACTCTGGCCGACCACAGAAACAAACGACGCGAGATGGACAGCGTGTGCCGCCGAATCATCACCTAACTGGAACCTAAAAACATAAACACCTGTCGGCACGAAATCGCTGCGCCAGCGAACTCAAAACTACCCACACTGTTGGCACAAGGAACCGACAGTCCTCGTCCTCACAGACGGCGAGGTCATACAACGTCGGCGGGCGCAGGTCGCGTCGGTGTCACCTCCTTCCCCGGCCGATGTGCCGAGGCAACTGGCGGCGGCTGCCGTCGCCGCCGACACAGCTCCTCGACGCCGCTTCGGGCAGCGCGCGCTCGTATCGTCGCCGCCGACGAAACGCCTCAGGGCTCACCTGTGCATCGGTCTGCGCAGAAAGAGGGGATCGACGACGCAGCGTGAGAGACACATGAGAAGAGGGTGAAAGGAGAGAGGGAGGAGTGTAAGAGGCCGACAGACCACGGAGGGGAGTGAGAAGAGAGAGAGAGAGAGAGAGAGAGAGAGAGAGAGGGAGAGAGAGAGAGAGAAGAGAGAGAGAGAGAGAGAGAGAGAGAGAGAGAGAGAGAGAGAGAGAGAGAGAGAGAGAGAGAGAGAGAGAGAGAGAGAGAGAGAGAGAGAGAGAGAGAGAGAGAGAGAGAGAGAGAGAGAGAGAGAGAGAGAGAGAGAGAGAGAGAGAGAGAGAGAGAGTATGAACAACAGGAGGACAGGGCTCGGTAGCTGCTGGTTATAAATCGCCTAATTTTGAGTTGGTATCGCAAATGGCGAGCTGAAATGCAAAAAATCGTATAAATGTTGCTTGCATTTCTATCCAAGGTGGCAGACCGCTTTGCACTCAAATAGTCGAAGGCGACGTGACTGAATCCAAAGCTGAATTATCCAAGATAGAGTTGGCTGCTCGAGATCGAGGTTAACCTAGCTGTCTGGCTTTACAATATTGGACCCATAACCAATAAGAAGCATTCGATGGACCTTATAAGGTATTGAGGTTAAATGATATGGCTTTGAAACTAAGTTTGTGCATTGTGGAATAGGTTTTAGTGTCGCGTTTCTCCAATAAGTTGCGCTCCAATTTTGAAGTTCAACGGGTCTAGCCTTATGCTATGGTTGTTTAGCATGCAAACATACTTGGCAAGAACATTTAAATTTATTCCAGAAGTCAGTGTCCTTGCCCCTATTTATATACACTGTGGGTTTAAACTTCAAAGGCAAAATTTTTTAGGTATATGCATTCATTGTCATGAAATGATTATTTACTTTTGCGTTATATTGCGTTATATCCAACGCCCCGCGGTACACGCATTTCAACGCCTCCCCACTATTGCAGACTGACAACCATCCAAGGAGAGATTTTCGCGCGCATTGCCACCGGGCGACAAACTCTTCCCAGTGCGACCATTTCTCGGACCGCTAAAACGCCGCGCATGCATAGTTAATAGGCCACAACTTGACGCCAAGTTAAAACAACTTTTCACTCGAAACCTGTGTCTACAGGACATCCTGGATCAAATGGCATATCGCGAACTTTGGTTCGCACTCTGAACCATTAAAAATTGCATGTGGAAATTGATGTAGTGCGTCGTTCGGTGCCATGGCCCGGTAATATTCAGGTAGGAACTTCAAGAAAGTTAACACTTGTCTGAGTGAGCCGCGTATGTATCAGAACTCTGTCGCCGAAAAATATAGGATAGTATATGCCATCGAACCACAATCGTTCCAACCAGAAACGACAACATATTATCTATTGCGCATCTACCAACATTGACGAAAATCACAACTTTGCAAGCTCCTACACAGCACAGACACGTGTCAACAGCAGCACATTAGGCTGATCCCTGCGCTCTTCCGTTAACACCGCTCCGCCCTGCACTCAGAGTCAGGACCCTCCGTCTCAGTGATCCCTGCTAACCCTGTTTGCAGACCCGTACCTCGCCTTTACCTTCGTCTCTGGCCCAGCCTGAGCCCTCACTGCTGACGGCTCAGCCCTCACTGCTGCCGGCTCAGCCCTCGCTGCCACCGGCCCAGCCCTCATTTCCGCCGGCCCAACCCTCACTGCTGCCGGCCCAGCCCTGACTGTCGCCGGTCCAACCTTCGTCGCGCAGGCTTTGGTCCCCGCGAGGCCAGCGAGCGAGTCACACGTGATCGGCGACTTCCTCGGCCCTGCCGAGTCCCTCCAGCGCCAGCTGGATCAGACTCTCGGTGCTGAGACGCTCGTAGCCCGAGGCTGATCGGTGGAGACAGGTGAGAAAGCGGAAGGCGCGCTGGCTGCCGCCGCCGGAGGAGCACTCCTGTGTCCGCTCCAGCGCGTCGTACACCAGACGTCCCAGCGCGCGTGGGGAGATGTTCTGTGACACAGGCAGAGGAGGCGTCATGCGCGAGACAATGTCACAAGGAGGCGGTGTCTGTGGAGTGTAGAAGAATCCGTCGTGAAAGAACTGCGTTATGTGGTACACCGGAGAACGGCAGCGCAGCGTTAGAGATGGCAAAATGATGTAATATATATGACTCAAAAATTTATCACAAATGGAGCATAAAATTTTAGGAAGTCCGTTATCGTTGCAACATTTCTGGAATTCAACAGAGTCCTGAAATGTTGCACACTACGCTCGCTCCCCTTCCCCCGACCCGTGCCTGAGTGCGCTACACTCACCCTAGCCTTCCCCCCCCGAGCCCCTCACCACGTGCATGAGTGCACTACACTCGCCCCTCCCTCGAGTCCCTCACCACGTGTCTGAGATTCTGCAGCACGTCCACCACGCTGGATGCACGCTCGTGCAGGAGCAGGAGCGGCTGCTGCTCCTGCTCCAGGTGCTGGATGTCGCCGGCCATCAGCTGACAGTCCTCCTGACGCTGAGTGACCTCCTCGACCAGCTGACGGCGCTCCTGACCATCGCAGAAGGACAGAGGTCATGTCACGGTAAGATCCTGAAGGTCCGGGTATGCATGTATGCCAGCATTAACGTGAGCGGCTCAAAAGGAGTCTGAAAAGACTCGAAGCAGACGACTTTCCTTTCACCAGAATCCATTTGTAATCGGATACTGGTGTTTTGGTCGTCGATAATGCATGTTTTCCGTACCTGCTCCCACTCGCGCTCGGCCTCGAGGAACTGCTGCCGGAGCCAGTGGACTTGCTCCTCGAGTCGGATGAGTGCGTCGTGCTCCTCTTCCGAACCGGCAGAGGGAAGTCGACGGCGAGACTCCGAAGACAGGCGGCTGCGGGCGATAACAGCAAATCGATGAGATGCCAAGAATCCTCAGCTGCTTTGCCTTTCAACACTCTAATAAAATTTACGCGTCTCTCATTTATTCAACTTGCCAAAAATAGGTTCCAAATAGTATTGTAAGGGATAACTTTAGAACATTGATAAAGTTACAAACAGTAATGACACTGTATGATCTCATTGGTTGGCAAAAAAGTTAATGCACGTTCCGAGAGTGAAAGTCGAACATTGGGTGTATGAAATGCAGAAATGCGCAATTCAGGGGAACTTATCAATCGCATGGGTGCGTCAATTATCATCAGTCGATGAATGATTTGTTTAGCGAGGAATGAATGATTTGTATACTTTGTAGATTCTCATTGAAAATCTGAAAATCATCCTAAGGAAGGCAATACGAACTACCATGTCTATCTATAGCAAAACAACAAGCACAACACGTCAAAACGTAAAAAAGTGTTTGACAAATGACAACACCGGTTTGCAAGAAGCTAAAAACCTATAGACAAACATTTTTCAAAGCTATACGGCACCTGCGTGAAATAGCACACGAACAAAATGTAAAAACCTAATATGACATCGGATTTATCGGAACGTACTTTTAAAGTTGAAGTCACATCGTCCAGCTATATCAGTTTGTGATGCCAAATTTTTGATTAGAAGATATATTTATGTTTTTTTTTTTAATCACAAAAAGTCCGTTCAGGATGCATGGAAAGAAACGCTGCGACTTCAGCTTTGATTTATTTGCTTTTACTTATCTCTTGTGACAATCTCCACCAATAAGACAAATGTTAGTACGTGCAATAGCGAAGCAGCATCTACACAAATCCATGCGGCGAGACATACCGAGAAAAGCTGTCAAGTTTTGACAGTCCCTCGTTCACGAGTTGAGATCTGTAAAAATTAGAAGTGCCACCTAACACTTTTACTAGCAGTGCAAATTGCCGCGCGGAAATGCAGGTAAGTGACGTATGGTATTTATAACATGGCATGCATACCATTTATGCATAAGATCAAACTGTTTTTGGGATTAACTGCTCAAAAATGAGTTTCAATACTAATGTTAACGTACAATTTTAGCCCATATTGATTACATTAGAAATCTAACAAAATGACACATGCTTTAGCACATCTAACACCAACATATGTTTCATAAACACATACAGGCTTCTCAATAGATAATTTAGTCATTCTAGCCACTTTGTAGCAATCACATCACATATCGATGATGATTGGTCGGCGCGGTGTAGTGCTAATCATCGTACTCATGATCGCGTCGAGACTGGAGGCCATTCACCGTATATGGATGTAAGAATGCACTGCGCTTGTTCGTAGGTACGTATGTCCATATCACGTTTTATCCAGTTAACGACAGTAAATGTTATTTAGTTGTGCCACGTGTTCGCTTTGCCATGAGATTTTGCAGCGTGCATTTCATGATATACGACATTATTATAGAGATTATTTGAATTATTTACATCGCTGCAATAAGTTTGTGTTTCCCTTATCAAAAATGATGTAGCGGTGTTTGGTCTGTGATTTAGTACCGGGCTGCCGGCCCGACCACCGCACAATGTCTGTATCTTCAGCAGCCCGTATTTAATGGAGAGTGGGCGCCTTGACTGCAGCCTTTCACTGTCATCAGCCGCGGACCAGGCTGATACATGACCACGCCCCTGGGAGAGATACATCAGAACGGGCGACCTATCATCCTCTCCGAAAACGATATATACCGGCGCTCCTAGTGCAGAAAGCGTCCTTTTCAATGTTGGTGTCTATCAAATACAAAAGAACTCGACGGCTATTAAAAACAAACTTTTTCTTATTCTTAGTCAAGAAAATGGAATAAATAGTCCTGCTTTCGTTCCGCCAGTTTTCCACGGCGATCGAGTAAGTGGTAAATGTGGAAATGAGAACACTACTTGGCCAACCATTAGTCTTTACAAATAAAGATTAAATATAAATTATGCCTATATTTTTCATTTGCTGATACTTCCATAAGAAGTGAATGGGTAATTCAACTACCAGTATTCACCATAAGCACTCCTAAGCACATGTCGCACCGTGGGAGTGGGAGCGGCTGCCTTTCACACTAACAGGAGACCGAATTGCCCAAACATGTCGAGAGCTCGCCTACACTAATGAGACACTCAGCCAGTAAACAACTTGGAGCCTCTAGTGCACACTGCAGTCTGTTTGTCCAATGGAAGTCGTACCATTTGCGTTGCCTAACATATTCGTACACATGTGATTCATTTTACATGTAGCATATTTCTAACATGTTTCCTCCATTAACCCTCGCCCCGTTGGGGGGCCATTTTGGCCCCCCCTGTGGTTTTTCCTGAATAGCAAGAAAACGGCGGCGCGCAGCGCCGCCAAATTTTCAGTACCTTCCCGGGCATCAATTTGACACCTTCACACCAAATTTCAAGTCTTAGGTCACCTTAGGTCAGGAGTTATTGAGGTCAAACTGAGGTCATGTTCGAGCAAAAATGAGCAAAAAACATGCAATCTTGAAACGCTCACCAAATCTACAGTTATCAAGCAATTTCAAAGTTCTTTATATGGTCTAGTAGACAAAAAGCGGCGCTACAAAACTGCTATCTCGCATTTTCAAAATTTTTGGTTTTTGACAAAAAAAAATTCAAAAAATTGATTTTTTTAGAAAAACTTTGAAAAAATCCAAATTTTTTTCCGAATTTCGAAAAAACCGGAATATATGTGATAATCCCAGCGCTCTTCTATATACATACCAAATTTCAGATCAATATCTCGTTTTTTGGCCAAGTTATAGCGAAAAAACTGTTCAAAAATGATGACGTCAAATTTTTGAACTCAATTTTTAGCAATTCTAGACCACGTACGGCAAAACAAAGACCACCATTGAACTCCCCGTGACGAGCTGCATCGATTCGATACCCATTTTATGCAAAAATATTAACTTTAAAATTTGACCTAATTTGACCTGACCTTGACCTGACCTTGACCTGACCTTGACCAAAACGTGATCTAAGCTGGCCCCAAAGGCTGCCTGACCCATATAATCGCATTTGTCATGTAAAATGGACCATAAAACATGTATCATACGACACTTTCATATTGTGACCCCCCGTGACCTGACCTCTGTGACCTGACCTGGTATCAGTGACCTCAAATAGCAAAATATGTGTTTGAAGAACATTTCCCCATCGATGATTTTCAATGAAATGCATTTTACTCGATTTTACAACGCATTTCTTGAAGTGCCTGTAAACGGTGAAAATTGGACCTTTGACCTGACCTGTGACGTCATCGGTTTGACCTAGGTCAATAAAATTGGGTCACAAGGTAGTTCCCCGTTGGAGCTATCCAACGCCGTTTACCGCTTGTCGCTAGGTTGCGTGGTTCTCGAGATCTTAGGGGGGGCCAAAATGGCCCCCCCCCCAACCGGGCGCGTTGCTCGGCAGAGCCCAACGGGGCGCGGGTTAATAGACGACAGACGTGGTCTCTTAGGTTTTTTTTTAACTCTGAATGTGTAGTGTTCTAATACATTTCACTTACAATGTACGTTGTGCGTGTTCTTGATGCGTTCTTCAGCCTAATAAGCTCAGCATACAAATAATATGACGCATTCTTTTGTGTACCTGCTACGACAATGTGCATTATTCTCGAGAAAGCCCACCTTCTATATCCTCAATACCTGCAACGACGAATCCTAAACCGCGCTCCTTCAAAGTTGAAAGGTTTTCGGAGCTTGCAAAACAAGCGCACTCTGTCTCATTAACCCTCGCCGGCACAGGCCATTTCGCGTCCTTCGACGGCACAAGGGGGGGGGGGGTTGGTACGACCCCCCCTCGCGTTTGGCCCCTGATCGAGCTAGAGCTTCGCGGAAAAAACGAGCGTGTTGCCCGTCACAAGAGGAAGCCGATGATACCCAATTTTAAGGTCCTAGGTCATTGGGTGACCTTCCAGGTCAGGTCAACGACTCGAAAACCGGGAAAAATCGGGACCTGTTAGAAAGTCGTAAAGTGTGGCTGCTATGTGGTTTTCCGGGGTGCTGATCACGAATATCGTGTTAGTTTTGATCAGAGATGATGTTTTTAAGCATTTAGTCCAGGTCGGGTCAGGTCAGGTCAGGTCAACCGGTAGGGGTTGTGACAGGTATTCGTAATACGTGTCAACCGCCTCTGACAGCTTCGTAACATGTTACGAAGGCACCAAAACTACTTCGTAAATGTTCAAATGGTTGCTAAATTCGAATTCAGCTCCAAAAACTAGCCTAGAAAATATAAAACTCGAAAAAGTGAACCGAGGTCACCCGAGGTCACCAAAGGTCAATGACCTGACCTGACCTTTAGGTGACCTTGACACCCACCCTAATGTATGGGAGCAACATCAAATCACATGTTTGAACGTTTGAAACCACGAAAAGCTTGCAAACGGGCGGCTAATGCGAGCCGACATACGCCGAATCGCGATTTCGGCCAAACATGGTCACGGAAAAGAGGTCACAGGTCAAAGGTCATTGGGGTCAGGGTCATGAAATTTTCAGGGAACGTGTAAAATTGATCAATGCGAGGGTACTGAAAGTTTCGTCGCGATCGGCCGCTTTTTACGCGAGTTATTCGCGAAAAACCTTAGGGGGGGTTGCATCCCCCCCTGTGCCGGCGAGGGTTAATGCTCTTTTTTGCTTTTCCCGCCAGTATATCATCGCTTAGTTACAATACCAATGTCAGTACCTCAGTCAGAAAAGCTGTCGGGAGCGATTTCAGGCCTCAGCATGGTATAAGCAATCCAGTATAAAGGGTCAGTTTTTAAACATACAGTCAGCTTTACATGTGTCGTTCCATCAGACGCAAACTGTAGCAGTATCTACCAGCAGCGGTAGGTATAACATAGGTTTAGAGGTGTGCGGTACAGCATACCTTCAGGCGCAGACTATAGTGACATCTAGCGCCAGCGGTACCACATAGGTTTGGAGATTTGCGGTACAGCATGCTTTCAGGCGCAGACTGTAGTGACATCTAGCGGCAGCGGTACCACATAGGGTTGTAGATATGCGGTACAGTATACCTTCAGGCGCGCAGTGTAGTGACACCTAGCGGCAGCAGTGCCACATAGCTTTGGAGATGTGCGGTACAATATAACTTCAGGCGTAAACTGTAGTGACAATAGTGACATCTAGCGGCAGCGGTGCCGCCAACTATAGCCTTGGGTGCCACATAGGTGTGGAGGCGTGTGGTACAATATATCTTCAGACGCAGGCTGTAGTGACATCTAGCGGCAGCAACATTACTCCGATTGCATGGCAGCATGACTCGATTAAAACCCAATTCGCTCACAAAAGTGTTCTAAAGCAGATGTTTCATAAAAATCATTCTTCCGATAAAATCGCCAATTAATTCGCAGGCGCATTATGATGGCTTCGTTCCAGTTACCTGTACTCGATTAATTTCCGCCAATACAGCAAATCACTAAGCGGCAAGCTTGGCATCCTTCAGTAGGGATACCTCCTAGCCAGAACCCGCATCAGCGCCCCCTCGTCGCTGGTTACACCCACCACCAGGTGCCGCTAGTGTAAGGCGAGGTAAAGCGCTGCAGTTTGCAGTTTGCAGTCTGAACACACCGAACTTCGAGCCTTGTGAACACGAACCTATGCTTTGATAGCATTAAGGCATGTCTGTATTTAATTAAAACAACTTATAGCTTTTTGTAGTGAAATGTTAACACATTCGATGAGCGCGAATCAGAAGTTTTTGTAAAACAATGCGCAGAAGTCATGCAAATAGTACGTAGCAATGATATGTAGGGAGCTGAGAAAGGCACAAAAGTGATAGAAGCACAATTGGAAACACAGGAGATGCAGTGCTGGATGGCACATCTTCTTAGAAAATAGAAGCAGACATGTTAAGTTTTAAGTTCCTCCCCATACGTTAGAACATCGAGTGAGCACTGAGCAGGCTTTATTGAGAAGAGTGTCATACACCAAGTCATGCATGTAGCTGGTATATTATCCAGTGAGTGAAGAAGTATGTAAGACACAGGCCTACCTTACCCACAGCAACAAGCCACCCACAATCTGTGTGTGATTCTATCAGAGTGAATTAAATTTCCTTGTGTGTGTGACCTCACCTGCGGGACCGTGGTGGCGAGGCGGCGGCGCCCTCGGTGACGTCATCAGCCGGTGACATCACTCGCTCGTCATCGGCCGAGGCCCGGCTCTCGGTGCGCGGCTCCGTCTCCGCTCTCTCCTCCCGCTCCCCCTCTACCGCTCCCCCAGTCTCCTCTGGTGTGGTCGCTGAGCACGCTGCGTTTCCGGCCGCTGCTGCCACCACGTCAGCCGCTGCGACTGCTCCCGCTGCGACTCCGACTCCGACTCCTCCTGCAGAGCTCATGACTCCTGAGTCGGCCGTCCTGCTGCAGTCATCTGCCGGCAAAGTTGACCAGTAAATGTGATGCAGCACTTGTTTGGATTGAGCGCGGCCCGGCGGCACGTTTCTACCGCGGCGAAGTTGGGCCGTTTAGAGGCCGCGGCGTCCGCGCGTGTAATGCCACGGCAACAGTCCGCGCTGGCCACCGCAGACGGAGGGTGCAGAGTGCACGGGTCATCATTAGAAACATGAACGGCTCTTATGAAGTCGAGCGGACCACTCAGAACGCACGAGTTCTTGTGAATAAGGTATTGGACGGATCCACTGGAAGAGCACATGACTGCTGAGAGAGGTTCAAGGGCCATCAAATATCTATGGTTAGATACCAGCCACCATTTACTATTCGGTTATTTAGAGGAGACTTCGAAGAATATTGGTTGAAAATACTGACAAGTGGCACCGATAAATAGGAAAACAAATCTGCTTCGTTGCACTTACCACACAATGCAACACATATCTATTTTTCTATAAGCATATGTAACTGTTACAATTTTTTGTTCCTACATTTTTCCATGGAATCAGCTTCAATAAGGTCGACAGATATAGATATGCCGTTACAGGCCGACAGGAAACGGTGTAACAGGGTGCCCCCGCCGACTGCACTGAGTGAATCCTGAAAACGAACTGAGCGGCGAAACAATGGAATGCACGCTTTATTTCCTTTTGACGCCTCGGGTTGGATGGTGCAGTGAGCAGGAAATGGTATCAGCTCATCTGAAATAGGAGACGGCTTGTGTCGTTGTCACTAGAGGCAGCTGATCGACTGTGCCAAGCTGTGTCAAAGACACAGTGTCAACGGAAATATGTCGTTGTGTCAACTCACCTGAGGTGGTGTCGGTAGACCGGTTGTGCTGCGCGTGACTCGTGTCCTCGTGGTCACTCTCCGAGGTAGAGTAGAGGCCGCTGTCCACATGAGACGCCGGGCGACCCTGGCTGCTGGACCTGGCACACGCAGACGCACAAAACATTTAATTTCTGAGTGGAAAATGGACAGCTACTAATCTACTTTTTTTGCATAGTTTGTAACATAATTCGCTTGTCACATATTTCAATGAGCTGTTGGAATCGGAAGTTAAATTTCAGCAATGCCTTCGCTGATGGCATTACTTTCATGCGCTTCAGAGGAAATGGTTTTCTAAGTTAGATTATAGCTGAGAACGGGGGATAGATAGAAGGCAACAGGGGCATTACATTGTTCTTTCCGACCCGTTTATTTCTCTTTTGAAACATTAACCCTCGCCCATGTAGGGGGGGGTTGGTGCAACCCCCCCCCTGAGGTTTTTCGGAAATAGTGCAAAAACGGCGGCGCTGCGCGCCGCAAAATTTTGGGTATCTTATGGGGCAAACCTTGCGCATCTTTTGATAAAAAAAATTTGACCGGGTCATGTCAGGTCACGGAGTTATGACGTCACAAAGGGAACAGCCTCCGGCCAGATTTTCACAAACTGAGTGCCAACGCCCGAGGTTTCCTGCCGGTGGTACGGACATCGGTTGATGGATCGTGATGAAACTTCCCATGCATGTTGGGGCAAGTATTGGCTATCATATGGTATAAGAAACTTGACCGGGTCAGGTCAGGTCACGGAGCTATGACGTCACAAGAGGAACAGCGTCCGGTACTATTTTTGAAAAGCGCCCGAACCACTATTTTGCTAATTCTTGTCACCTCAATGGGAATATGCAGCAATATTAGCTTCTATAGGGAGCAAATGGACCTCCCAAATCCAAAAATACAATCAGATTTCAAAAATTTAAATTTTGATTTTTCGAATTTCTGCCGCCGACTGTGACCTTGCCGACTTCTGGCGCTCCCAACGCGCCATTTTTAGAGCTAGGGAAACGAAATACATACCAAACGATAGAGAATTGATCAAGGAACACGATTGTGAAGGTTTCAAGTCGATATCTCCCACCGTTTTGCCGCAATCGCCGCGGAAAGTTGAAAAAAGTCTATTTTTCCGAAAATTTGACCTTTGACCGGTCAAAAGTAGGTCAAATGTTGACCTAGGACCAAAAAATATACCACCAATCGCGAGATCTCGGCGAGAGCAATCCGTTGGTCTTTTCCGCTAAGCTCTACGACGCTCCGTTTTCAAACGCCAAGGGGGGGGGGTCGCACCAACCCCCCCCCCCTGCATGGGCGAAGGTGGCAGATCGCCGTTTACGGGCGAGGGTTAAAAGTTCCACGGATTCAATTTGTCTACCCAATATAAAAAGCGCATAACAAGTGTAGGGTTTTGAGACTTTCCTCTCCACATCTATCTGGACCACAAGCTATGCGGTCATCGGGTCAGCCTGCTATCCCGGGATCTAACACTATGTATGGCAAGGGTCTAAAACATACAGAGATGCCGTCAGCTTGGGTGCTGGGCATTCGATTAGATGGTGTTCAAAAGTGTTTATATCGGCCCTCCGGTTACACAATAATACGTTTAATATCAAACGGTCCCGTATATCAAGGCAAATTTATTCGCGACGTAAAAGGGGATGGAGCAGCGTGGTTCATGTCGAGTTCGATGTTTGATGTTATGACAGCTGAATAAGGCTATTATTATCGGATTATGTATGCCCGCCTTTGTCTCAGCGCTGCAGTGATTCTCTTCTGAGCCGTGCACTTAATGGATGGCAATGATTGCAATCGTTTGAGTTACCTATTCACTCTCCAGGACCCCCAGCTGTTTTGGTATGCTCGCTGTAAGAATATGATGGTATCTTCAATGATGATGGTATTGCATAAATGCATTTAAATTATGTTTATATAACGGCCGAGAATGCTTTCATTAGAAAACAAGTTCCGTTATTGGAAAATGGCCAGTGTAGGATAAGAAAACCTCAAACCCGTCCCAGGGAGATGATCAGAGACAACACTCCTAAATCCTCAAGCCATTTAAACAGTTCAAATGTCAATAAACAATGGTTTGATTGGAAGACAGATCAACACTTATTACTAAAACAGTCGGTACCAACTATAGATACTAGATAGGCTATCGATTCTTATATGTAAACTACCGTTTCATTCTAACTATCCATTAGGGTCTTCTAATGGCCACCGACCTTCTCTTCAGCAGGCTCTCCAGCTGGTGGACGCGTGCCTCGAGGACGGGCACCTGTTCAGAGGCAGCCTCCAGTTGTCTGACCCGGCACAGGGCGGTCACCAGTAGGTGGCGAGTCTGGGTCAGCTCCGCCAGCACCCGACGCCTGCAGGAGAGGTCGGAGGTCAGGGGTCAAAGGTCAAAGGTCAGATGTCAGAAGCTAGAGGTCAAAGGTCAGAGGTTAGAGGTCAGAAGTCGAAAATCAGAAAATCGAGGACAGAAAAGGTAAGTAAAAAAGGTTACTGTTGGGCGTTGGGGTAATTATATCAAAGTATTCTACTATTCTTATCAATGCCGTTTGTGGCTCTTAACGACCTCTCTTGGGAAACAGAGGCCTTTAACTCGCGCGTCCACCTACACCAGTACTTCTTTCTTGCGATGCAACGTCAGCTAAAGATCACTGCTCACGAGTCACAGACTCAGCTGTGCGTGTCAGTCGGTTCCTCCGCCCCCTCCCCACCGTACTTCGCACTCCATTTCACCCAGTTTTTCACAGACCCTCTCATCCTGCCCGCCAGAGCCACCCGTCAGACACGGCGCCTTTTTCATAAAGCCACCGGGCGCTAAAATAACCTCGCATGACCGGGCTGGCTGGCAGCCGGCCCCACACCGAGCACGGCCAATAAAACCAGATCGGCAGCCGGCGACCGGGAGCCGGTCGCGCAGCACGAGACAGCTCCATTTATCACGGCACGCGGCAGCGCTCCTGGTCGTTCCGAGTGGCGGCGCGTGAGTGTGTGTGAGGAGCCGAGAGCGACTGGGGCGGCTGGAACCCCGGGCTGTTCTGGCTGGGAGAACGGCGGCCCATGGGGCGCCGGCGGCACGGCGCTGGTCGTGCAGTCGGCGTGGCGCTGCTGGTCGGCCCGAGCGGAGGTCGGTTGCCGGGGGGAAATTAGGCACCATTGCAGGAACGTGCTGCCGAGTAGTGGCGCGTGCTGGACCGGTCTGAGGAAGCTGAGACGAGCTGGAGCGAAATGAAACGAGACGAGGCGAGCATGGACGAGCATGGACGGAGCGAGACGAGCAGGGACGAATCGGGACGGAGCGAGACCAGGCGAGACGAGACGAAATGAGTCTAGAGAGGAGACGAGAGGAGATGAACCTGGACGAACAGGACGTGAAGGATGAGTTAAACGATCTTAGCAAGCACTAATGTGACACGAACGTCCTCTCCAGTTCGAAGCAAAGGCTGCTGGCGACTAGATTCACCATCGATCGGACACGTGGCTTCCAAATCCACCAAGATAGGTCCGACTTTGAGTCAGAAATTGATCACATCGCCCGGTCTGCGATAGCGCGATCCACTCGAGTTCATGGAAAAACAGCTGTGCCGAGTTTTGGCCCGACGATTATCTTTAATAACTGAGACAGCAGCCAGCCACCGGAAAGTTAGCTACCAGACAGAATGGATCCTTTATCAGGCTTCAGTCAGGTGTGAAGATCCAATGAAGAATTTGGCAGGTGGTTTGTGATTTTATGTCGAATGCTATAACGTGCTGATCTTGGCAAATTAGCCGTTCCGGCTTCGAGCTTCCGGATTCAAAATGAAAATTGTGACGTCATGATGTCGGATTAGCAAAGCATCATTAGGACTTTGATGCTTTGCGTCGGACAATACTCGGACATACATGCTTTGCAACACTTGCATGTGTATTTACGCAAATGGATACACTGAAATAATCGTATTCATCGTGTTTATGACACGTGAAAGAACAGGTTGCAGTTGCACATACCCCACCGCACGCCCACCCTCCCAGCTCCCAGCAACCAAGGCCAATGCAGAATAGCGGCGCCGCCTTTCTCACGAGCCACAAATTCTCATGGCGAAGCAATACCATTCCAGCTCCTGCCTGTTACAATAGTGAAATGTCGGCGGGATGAAGAAATATCGGGACACGCCCGCCAATGTGCGGGCCAGCCTTTACACGTGGTTTATGTCCGTGGCTGGCTGAGCGGAAAACGATCCTGTTGAAGTCATGTGTCATTACACATAGATCGCTATTTTTAAGCGACCGTATACATATGCGAACTTATGGTTTTGCTTCATACTAGCAATATGTAGTAGCTGACTTTTCCGTAGCTACGTTGCTTACCTACACTGGTTACTGTATGATATTTTGTTTAGGTCACGAGGTGAGTCTGGTCTGGATTACCCTACCTATGCACGTGATATGTCACCTGAGCACGTGACCAAACCATGCATCGTCAAAAGACTCCAGTGACGAGGCAGGCGCCAATCACAAACACAATAATCGATGTGCGCCTGGCGTACTGTTCGTGGGTATGCGACCAATGCCGAGAATAAGCGGCACGCAAGACGCGGCAAATATTGCGATAGTCCAATTGACATTCCATTCTGGCAGGCTTTAGTGCTCCTGTTGGGTGTGTCATTTTATCCAGCACAGGACGGGTGCAAAATGTCAATTATAGATTCAGACTGTTTAAGTCTCGTGTTTGTATCGGTAAGCAACGTGGTGGTCGGGTGGTCGGAAGGTGGTGGTCACTGCATAGATATGTCTCTCAAAAGTGTTACCACGGCCGGATGGCCGGCCGCTCAGTCACAATTTTCCGTCGGTATACATGAAGACTTCACTTCTTGCATTGAGTTCACTTGTAAAAAAAAAGATGTCATCTAGCAGTATACTCAATAATGACCTGAGTATGTTTCATACGGACCTGAACTGCTGTATGTCCCATACTGACCTGAACTGCTGTATGTTCCATACTGACCTGAGCTGCTGTATGTCCCATACGGATCTGAAATGTCCCATACTGACCTGAGCTGCTGGAGGTCGCGGAGCGCGCTGCGACTCTGCTCCAGCGCCGTCTGACTCTCGGCCAGCTGGGCGCGCGTGTAGCCCAGCTGGTGGGAGGTGCGCTCGTGGGCGAGCCGCTCCATCTCGTGCTGGTGCTGCGACGCCTGCAGGTCACTCTGCAGCTGCTTTACCTGCTCCTGCAGCCTGGCGAGCGGGTGGCACGGACCGGTCAGCAAGGAGTGTGGGTCAGACTGCACAGCTGTATAGCGCATAGGAATACTCGTAACAATGGCATTAGGTAAGGTCAGCCCATGGCAATGTAGAGCAATGAGATCACATCAGGTGACGTAGCAAAATACTTCCAGGAGCATTATGAGATTCGTTTAGTAGTGCACCACAATTCACCATTCAACTAATGCTCTTGATAACAAAGACTCCAGTTTTGATCCATGAGCGTTTCCTCGAGTTCGTTTGATCCCCGGCATGGTAGGTCTTCCCACAGTACCAAAGACACATTAGAGTAATGACTCGTTCGGGCTGAAGAAGCATGCAAAGGGTTCGTGCGAAGCACGCATTGAACCATGGGAATAGAAATGTCACCGGCAGAAAGGGAGGGCGGAAACAATAGACGGAGCCGGGACAAATGAACGGAAGGGAAAGCCCGTGACGAGAGACCGGGCATAACGGAATCTAAACGAGGGAAACGAGTGAGCAATTAAACAGGGAGGGACATGGGGGGGGGGGGCGTCAAGATGTGGCAATGGAAATCGTCTGAAGCTTGCAGTTTCATCTTGCAGGTAGCTTCCCGGAGCTTGTTAGTTTCAGCATTGCGTGACGAGTTGTGGAAATGCACAGAAATGTCACAACACTTTTTATTTATTCGTCGAACGCCTGCCAACAAATTTATCACCGTTTTAATGTGTATGTTTTTAGCTGAGTTCGTCACACAAAACGATTCGTTTCGCAATGTTGGAGATCGTTCCGTGATACTTTACAAGCTTATTTTCGGTGATCGGGCATACCAGTGTTATCTATCTTCAGTCTTCACCTAGTGAAAGTTCCCTACCATGAAAAAGCGATTCGATCGATGAGATCCCACTCTAGTCGAGTGCCAGGCGCTCCAATACGCCACGACCAGCGTCTATCCCACGGGGTCAGGCCACCACCACCTCTCGGGGCCACAATGCGGCGAATGTATGGGAACCGGCCGGCCCGTGGTGGTACCTCACAGAAAGCGACACCGAGCGGTGACAATGGGCGGCGCCGGGGCACTGGGACAGGCGCGTCACTCTCGCCGCACCTTGGCGCCGGAATGCGACAAAAACGACGCGCCGCACAACCAGCTCGCTGTGTGGAAACCGCCACCGTGGCGAGACAGACTGATGGTACGGGTGGCGGAAAGAGAAAATGACAGAAAATGGACTGTGTGAAAGGGGAGCTGTAGCACGTAACGTAAATGGGAGAGGTACTCGAATGTAAAGGACTATGCGTTAGGCATAGTTTATGGGATTTTTGATATTATAAACTCCCGTTTACGAGTAGAAGCAATATCCGAGCTATCAACATGTTAAAACATCGCTTCCTTTTGCATATCAGCTATGCGATGGTGAGTTCCGAACTTCATGCTATAATATATAGTTTTCTTTTACGACGATATTTTACAAATAAATGTAGCTATTACACCAGTATAACGCCTTATGGGGCGACTAACGGAGCGAGCGAGAGGGTGGGCCTTGCACGTGCGAAATTTCGAGGGGGTACCTCCAACTGACTTGTGTACGGCACCCTACTAACCGGTCTCTAGCGATTTGCCAAATTTGAGCACAATCGGCCCAGCCGTTCTCGAGATCTGGGAGCGGCACCCTGCACGTGCGCACGTGCAAAATGGGTCCCGACTGGCTTTTGCACGACACCCTACTAACCGGTCCCTAACTGTGTACCAAATTTGAGCGCAATCGGTCCAGCCGTTCTCGAGATCTGGAAACGACCCCTGCACGTGCGCACGTGCAGCAGCACCCCAACTCTGGCACATGGACATGCAGTGCCTAGTGGGTGCCTACCTACATGCCAACTTTCAGCGCAATCGGCCAAGTAGTTACCGAAATATTGCAACAATTGCAAAACTGACACCTCTTCGTTTTGCACGTGGCACGTGCATAAGGGGTCACTCACATGCATCGGGAATAGTCCAATACTTGGTAGAAGGAATGAAGCTACCCTATAAAAATTACCGCGTGTAAATCGGTCAAGTGGTTGCTGAGATATAAGCCTCGCAAAAGCGTCCGCACGGCCGGCCGGCCGGCCGGCCGCTCATACTCAGAAATTTCCGTTATTCTACGTAAGACTCCGCTCGCTTCGCTCGCTCCGTAATAACTAAAGCAGTGATCGCCTATCCTCTAATGCTGTCGGAGCGTGAGCAGATGCGAGGGCCGAGCCAAGCCAGAGTTTGCTTTCCGTGGTTTCGTTTGATGTGGGCAGGAGTGAACAAAAACTTGGAGTCTACCGAACGCCCCGAACAGATGTGCCTTGATGAAACCTTTGAAGGTGAACGTCAAATATTTGGGCTGCACTGGAACAGAAAAGGCAGCCTCCTGACGAGCTGTGTCTAAAAAGATCGAAAAGGTCTTATATCGAGGTATCAGAGAGCTTGTAAATAATTAACCCTAATCCGGAATGATAATTGCATTGTCAAGAGACATAAAATGCGATGGGAGATATGTGCTTTTGCATCTATGTGAGTTTTCATTCCGAAAAATTAGTTGAAGTAAAATTGTTCGTATAGATGATCCACCTCTTACCAATAGTGGTTTCGGAGAGTTCATGTACCTACTTAAAGCGCTAAGAATTTTCTGCTTCATCAATATACGCTGCATCGACGATATATCAGTCTTCACCGACACTTATTTTTGGCGGTGAGAAGCTCGGTCACGGTTTGTGTGGAAAGAGCGTCAACACGGAGATAAATTTCCAATTTCGCAACTCATACATTATTCACAAATACCTGCTCCTCTCCACAAATTAATGGCCTCTGTATAACTCACACCATTTGTCGTTTAATCTAGATAGGCTGCGAATTTGAATCATAGAGAGGTTCAGTATTCACGCCTTTTCCGATTTCAGGAAATAAAGTATAAAACTATTGTTTTTCTGAGCCAGGACGCTCACAATCTTCAAACATATCTGCAACCAAACTAAAGCTTGTCGAACAAGATGCTCGGTCGGATTGAAAAGTGGTTTTCAATGGCAAACTCATCAGTCTCCTATTTCTTCGAGTCTTTGGTATTACAAGAGCTTTATGCTTCTGACATGTAACGAAGTGATTATAACGCGATCTAATGTGTCTATATTTCTAAGAAAACTCAACCTGGGATGCTTCTATGCAGCGATGTCTATGAATGCATCACTGTTTTGGGAATATTTTTGCGCTCATGGCTGAAAAAGGTTTTCAATTCAAGATTTAGTGAATTAAAATGAAAAGACGGTATATTTTGTGTGATTTTTAAAAGACGTTCACATTGTAATTCATTCATCATTCAACTGATTAATATTCAAGGTGTGTGTTTATTGGCTTACCAATATTGTCATCACCACATGCGTGACATCAAAGCCCCACCCGACTGCCGCGCTAACGCAGGCTGTCAACGCCCACCTCCATGACTCACCAGCAGTCGCTGTTGCGAAAATAGCCTTTGTGGCCGCGCCTGCACTCAAATACATAAACTCAGCGCGACATCTGAAAACAAACAGGACAGCGTATTGGCTCACCTGGCGACGGCTGCCTCCGCTGCGATCAGGTCCTGTTTGGCCAGCCGCACCTCACGGTCCTTGCCCCGCAGGTGGGTGCGCGTGCCGTGGATGGTGGCCCGCGACCTCTCCAGGTCAGTCTGGGTCATCTGCAGCGCCTCGTACGTCTGCTCCAGCTCGTCCTCCAGAGAGAGCTCCGGGTGGTAAGGCGCTCGCGGCTCACTGATGGCTCGCAGCTCGCGAATCAGCGCGTCAAAGTTACGCTGGGATTCACTGATTGATCGATTCGTCTCGGCTTCGATGTCTTTGTCGCGCGCGGATCGGGGCACCACCAGAATCGACCGCGGTACGGGAGGGGCAGCACGGCTCGCGGGTGTGCTCGAGGTCGACAGAAGGGCGCAGCACGATTTAGGGCGCGGCGGCAGTGCCGGCGGCTTGGCAGCCGGCGGCTCGGAGCTTTCCGAGCCGACGCTGGGGTCCGAGGCGGGGTCCGAGTCACTGTTCTCACCACTGCCATCTCTGCTGGCATCACCACTGCCATCTCGGCTCGCGTCGCCGCTGCCGTCGCCGCTGCCGTCGCCGCTGCCGTGTTCGCCGCCGCCCCGGCTGTCCTCGGCCGGCTGCGCGTCGGACGGCTCCGCGGCGCCGCCCATCGTCCTCTCCGGGGTGCGTCTGGCGCGCACCTCCAGCCCGATGTTGCGGGCGTCCGACTCGACCAGCGAGCGTCTCAGGTCCTCCACCAGCTCCCGCAGCGCGGTCAGCTCCCTCTCCAACAGCAGCAGGCTCACGGGTGGTTCGTCGGACCCGTCCGCGGCGCCCCCGCCTCTGCCGGCGCGACCAGCCCGCGGCAGGCGCACACCGCGACGCCGCTTGGTCGCCGCCGACGGCGAGCGCGCGCCGGCGATGCTCCTGTCGAGCTGGTCGATGACGGCAGCGCGTCGCTCCACGGTCACCTCCACATCCACGAGCGGCGCACTGGCCGCCGGTCGCGCCGCCACGCCGAAGTGCGCGCACACTGCCTGCTGAAAGCGCTCCAGGTCGAGCGCGGGTTGGTCGCCGTCGCCGCCGACGCGGCCGCCGTCGGCTCCGTCGGTCGGGCCGTCGGTGTCGTCGTCGGCCGGAAATACCGCCGGTTGCGGCGGCCGCCCGAGCGCGCCGGCCAGCAGCGCGCAGAGACGGCGCACGTCGGCGCGACTGACGCCGGCCGGCCCGGCCAGCTGACTGTAGACCAGCGCCAGGTACTCGTCCAGTCCGAGAGACAGCACGCGCGCCGTGTTGGGCAGGTGAGCCGGCGGCGGCCGGCGACGGGCCGCCAGCGCCGGCCCCAGCAGCGGCCCGGCCGGTCCCAGCAGCGGCCCGGCGCCGCCCGGCTCCGCCCCCGACAGACACGGAGCCGGCGACGGGGAGCCCGTCACAGCAGACATGACGGCGGCGTCACTGATCACTTAGCGCAGCGCAGTGTACGAAACACCGCATGTAATGTTGGCACTGCCATTAACCAGTCTGTCTCTTTGCTTTTTTAATAAGCTTGACTGTCACCGTTCGTCGCTGCGTTCAGCTAGCATTCACTCGCATCAAAGTCTGATTTTTGCTTCGAGTCGGTCATCAGTGACATACATCACAAACCGGCGACCACTCCGTTTGTGAATTACTCACACGTCGCCGGATTTCACTTCTCGCTGATGCTTGTCTCTTCTGTATCTCGTCTTCAGTCGCCCATCATTTCTCCACTGACAAGTTACGGCCGACTCGGCATTCCGCGCCGCATTTCACAGCTCTCGTTTACATCACCGCCAGCTTTCGTCGAGTTCTTCTGGTATCACCTCACCTCGAGCCAGATCAAATTGAACCAGCTTCTTCGAAACGAGCCAAACAGCCATCCGTCTCTCTTCTGACCTACCAGCTGGAGTTCGTCTCGTCTCCGAGTCGCTGTCGCTTTCGTCTCGCAGAGTCGCTCAGCTCGCCCTAGACAAGCTGGCTCGATCTGCGCGTTTGGTGCCTCACCAACCGGTCATCACTGCGCAGTACGGATCCATGCGCGGGTGACCGCCACCACCTCCCCGTCACCACTGAGTCTGAATCACGTCGTGTGTCCAACACAACACACCAGCGCGGCCGGAGCTCACCGTCCCACGAGCCCTCTCGCGAGCGCCCATCGGAGAGCGCGGATCAAGACCGTCTGCCCGATATTCGCTGTCGGTCACTGGGAAAACATGCCGAAAAGTAAAAGTCAGAGAGCAAACAGGAGATGGGGGACCACCGTGTTGGCTCGCGGACCGGCCGGCGCGGCGGCCGCGGAGCGCGGCACTGACAGATTACGTCATCAGTGTCAGGCGCCAATTGTTCTGGCGAAATGCGGTCTCGCATTAGCGCTGCCGGCGGTGGCGCGCTCACGCAGTAAAACAAAGAAACGTTCATTGGCGGCCGGCGGGACCAGGAGGGAAGGTCACGGCGCCATCGCGACCCTCACCGAGTTTGTTCCCAGCCCTCAGCACACTCCCGAATAAAGGCGCGGGCGTTTCGACTGATCAGCATTGTTTGCGAATACCGACGCGTTTTTGTCTGTTCGAGACCAGGTCATGGTAACGAGCTCTGACATTCCAAATACTATCGGTCACGGTGACATCATTCGCTGCCTTACGAGTCCAGATGACAGGCATGGCCGCGAGGGGAAAGCACAGGTGGTCATACCGGCAATAGATTAGAGGCGGATTTAGTAGAACCCCGAGTTGACTGTGCAGCTATCAATAATTCATCATTGACAGATAATCCTCTGGCGACGTTAAAAACGGCCACGCTGCTACATTCTCTGGAGTGGTGTAGTCTGTCGGCTTGCGAATAGTGGCACTCTTCCACCGATCATATTTCTCCAGAACTGACTCTTGAAAATCACATCTTGGATACCTCCGAGGCATGGCATTCCCGGCTTATCCCCGGGGGAATTTGGCCGATGCCCTATTCGTGTCGGAGGCGGCGCTCAATTATTCGTTAGCGAGCTATCAGCCGGTCGGCGGGCGGCGGCTCGTAGATTCCTGGTCACGGTACGAGGCTGGGTAACTAGCACCGTATCTCGCCGGCCGCGTATGAGCCGCCGCAGCTCGGCACGGCCGCCGCACAGCTGCTCATCCGAGCTGACACGTAAATCAGGACGGGCGGCACCTGCAGCGGCCCGGCTCCGTCGGGCGGCTCGCCGGCAATCTCGGCGGTCGGCGGCGGATGCGGCGCCCGCTCGACCCCATCAGCTTTCATGGAGGGAACCAGGCCGCGACAAATCCCCGCAGAGCTCGGCCGTAAATCGGTGAGCCGCCGCCGCCGATCACTCCGCTGCCGAGCCGGCAGTCCTTCCCCAGACCTCGCCTGCAGTCCCCGGATCTTCCTCTAACACAGATCGCATAGTCGCTCCCGGCTGTCGCTAGGCTCAATCAGAGTAGATATTGGCTGAGCTCACCGCGCGTGATCATTGCAAGTGCTGTTGTTTGTTCTAAAGCAAATAATATATAAGTCCCTCAAACAGTTTCCGCAGACCCTCCTGCTCATTTTTTCAGGGCATGGAGATAGTCGTACGTGTCTCCCTTATATCACAGTCCCCACATGTCTGACACCGTGTCATAGTGTAAAGCCGTGACACTCTTCTGCGTGGGCTGCCAGGGTGACGTGCGATGATCGAAACACTATGAGAGCTATGACCGATGGGCCGAGACGCCCCTCTGGAGGCTGGGGTGCTTCACCTGTGGCCAAAATTAGCCCCCGCTATTTCTCGCAGCGCTGGGTCCCGTCTCCACTCCCGCCGGCTGTCGGCTGTCGCCACCGACAGGTCATCTCCTGTGCCTTTAAAAATATGCTTGTGTCCGCTGCGGCGTCATCTCATGTCTGTCATCAATTCTGTTTGCAACGATATGTTTTTACAGCGTTTACAGTTTGCAGCGATATAGTCTGAAAAATATAATTATAGATATTATTCATTTTTAAAGATACGTTTTAAAATAAATTTAATTAAGAGGTATTTCTTTTTCGTCCTGATTCACCATGGCACCATTGAAGTTGCCATGACAACCACCACCACCATCACCACCACCATCACCACCGTCACCGCCGCCGCCGCCACTGTGGGCTGTCGGCCAGGGTAAATCACCAGGTGTGACCTCTCCAGAGTGCGGTGGCGACAGACAGGGCAGAGGTGAATGGCTCACGGCCCCGCAGTGAGAGGCGGTCCCACAACTCACCGCGACTGCGACAAATGACGCGATTCTGTGGCTCCGGTGGAGGAAAATCGGACAAACAGGTGTGCCGAGGATATGTTTTGCCATCGAGAGCGAGATAAGTCGAAACCGCCATTCATATTGCGAGACGTTAGCTTGCGATGCATAGTACCAGCCAAGGTAGGACTCAGGAAGGAAAAGCCTTGAATAGACATATCGATAGGGACAAGAAATAGAGGCTCTATTTGGATGTTTTTAAATTTCTAGTTCATAGTATCTCGTCATTGCAGCTGGCTCTAGACACGCCTATCCCATCTTTAGGCCTTCAAGTTCAAGCATCGCTACCCTCCGTACGTCTGCCGGCGGCTGATGACAACAGTTGTCGATCAGGCAGGCGATGCGCCCTGTCGAGGTTGGTGACGTCCATCCCTGCAGTGGAGTGATGACGCTACTGGAGACCAGCTGCAACGTGATTACGTCAGTGGATCGTAGGTAGTCATGGGACCCAGCGACTGCGGTGACATGCCGCGTCGCTGGACGGTCGGAGAAAACGTCAACTGATGCAACATTGCCCGCTACCGACGGTCAGTTGGCTAAACGGCAGGTCGGAAGACTATATGGATGAAGACTTCAGGATGCCGCCTCAGGGCGGATTGTGACTTCAGAGGCGCTTCCTAACCCGATCGGCACGTATCAGGGCTCAGCGCTCGGACCGCTTTTATTTTCGATTTATGCCAACGATTTACCTTTGTACACGGAGGGCGCTCACGTCGTGCAATACGCTGACGACACCCAGGTGGCAGTCAGCGGTGGGATCGGCGACATCGGCTCCCTGGTGCAGCACATGGAGCACAACCTGGCCCTTCTTTCTCGATGGTTCGGCAAAAACGGCATCAAAATTAACGCACGAAAGACCCAGTTCATCATTCTTGTTTCTTAAAACCAACGTTACAGACATTCGTCGCCAGCCGTACATGTATTGTACAAACAAACATAAATGCAATCGTCTGCGCCGCAGTGGCACTTGCACGAACCGAGCTCCTTTCCAGTTACTGGTCTATGGCGAGATCATGTTCCATGCGTCAACTTCCAAATCCATGAGCACCAACGCAGACTGACCCCGCCCGCGACCTCGGTCACGGGCCGGGGTCAGCCCCTGGCGGCGAATGTCGTAACTACGGTTTCTTAAAACCAACGTTACAGACATTCGTCGCCAGCCGTACATGTATTGTACAAACAAACATAAATGCAATTCCATGGAGAGAAAAAATCACAACGTCGCGTCGTAGCACCCATCACACATATGCACCGCCATGTCACTCGAACAGACGCTGTGTAAACGACGGATCTACGCTATTGTGAACATAATGATCCAGGAAAACCGACCTGGTCTTCCATCTACCGAGACGCTGCACATCGTCTGCGTCAAACCCGAGCTGCACCGCACGGGTCGCGCCAGTTGGCCGAAAATCTTTCGGCGTGTGACCTTTGGCGAGACCAAAATCCTCCGCAAAATAAATACCCTGCTGTAAAATGGCAGCCACCGAGCTTGCAGAAACTGCAGCATAAGGGCGAACTAAACTAATGAAAACAGGCTTCGAAACTGGACATCGACACGACTCTGTTCTAGCTAAATAAACACGCAGGGCATCGATAGGGTCCGCTGACTTATTGGGGCTAGGCGGGATTGCGACTTGAAACCCCGTGCGCTGAGCGTCGTTCTTTATCCCCAGAAAGGTAACCTGCAGGGTACCATCTGAACGGAACTGAAGCTGATCAGTGGACAGCACAAACGGCGACGTTACCCCCGAGCCTGCATCGAACCTCATCGACAGGGGGGCAATATCTGAGGGCCGCAACATCAGCGCGATAGCTAGCAGACATATCGCCTTCAACCGCAGCAACTTCAACGGTAGCGACTCGTTCACAGCCCACGACTCAAACAGACGAACAAAGGCTGATACATCCATCACGGACGACCGTGTCATGGGTGCCCGTGTGCCGCTTTTCACAATGGCCTGAGACAGACGCACGAGAAGGGGATCGTGGAGTGGGTTGGCTACTCCCATCACCTCGTACAGTGCAGCCAAGGCTGCTGACAAGCAGCGTAACGTAGAGTGGGGTCTGTCAGACACACTGCACTCGCCTACCAGGAAATCAGCCACTACCGCGCCATCTACCGGTGGAAAAATCAATTCACGTATTCTACAAAATTCCTTAAACTTACAGATGTATCTGTCATAATTCGCGTGAGTGGAATGAGCCAAACACAGAGGGAACTGCTCACGTGCAGCAGGAGACCAGCCGAGCGCCTCTAACCGGGCTCTCCAGAGATCCGCCAGGCGAACAGAGTCCACCGTCTGTTGCGGTGCGGCTCTATCTGCTGGTGCGGTAGCAGTGGAATACAGGCCTGCGTCACAGGCGGCAGCCGCAGCGGCGGGCAGACGCTGAGCCGCCGCAGCCGCTCCATCCATGGCTGGCCTGGCCACATCGGGGCAATCAGCGTGGCCTCGGCACGCTGCGCCTGCACCGCGTCCAGCACACGTGCGACTAGCCGGAAGGGCGGGTTTATGAAGTTGTTGTGCTGTTGCCAATCGTTCTGACCAAGAGCGTCCACACCAGCGGTACCGGGGTCCCTGAAGCGGCTGTTGTAGACCGGTAGCAACGCCGTAGACAGGGAGGCGAACCGGTCGATCGTGTGCGGGCCGAACATGCGCTCCAACTGCTGGAACACAGCCGGATGGAGTGTCCACTCGTGACGCAGCGGAATACGTGACAGCTCATCGGGGTCTACATTTAAATATCCTGCAATGTGGTGCGCAACCAGCATGACCTGATGCTCAAAAGCAAACTCCCAAATATTCTGAGCGATGGCGTCCAGGCGACGATCAGCTGACCCAAGCTTGTTAATGAGCGCGACTACCGTGATATTATCGGACAATATCTCGACGGTTTTGCCACGAAGCGTAGAACAAAATGACAGTAAGGCAAAATAAACAGCTAGTAACTCGCGAAAATTGGACGTTTCTGCGCTCACCTCTGGCCGCCAGAAACCC